AAATACACATAGGCCTGCTAATTCCTGGTATAAATTGCCATTTACCTGTGTGTGTGTGTGTGTGTGTGTGTGTGTGTGTGTGTGTGTGTGTGTGTGTGTGTGTGTGTGTGTGTGTGTGTCCCCAGAGTGGGTATTTATATAATCAAAGTTTTTTTGTTTTTTTTTTTTTAATTTTTAGGAAGTCCCTGCACAGTTTCGTATGCACATACTTTAAATATATCCTCCAAATATCTAGTAATCTTGATTTTTTTCTTTTTTTTTGGCAGTCCTGGGGCTTAAACTCAAGGCCTAGGCACTGTCCCTGAGCTTGAACTCAAGGCCTAGGCACTCTACCACTTGAGCCACCACTCCCTTTCCAGCTTTATCTATTTATGTGGCACTGAGGAATTGAACCCAGGGCTTCATGCATGCTAGGCAAGCCCTCTACCACGAAGCCATATTCCCAAACTTTTTTTCTTGGGGTTTACTGTAGGATCATGAGAAGATTCTCATGAAATAACTCAGACCCTAGGTGTGACCCTTTCTTTGTGACCCCAGGCAAGGCAGTTAACTCCTTTGTATCTCAATTGGATGGGGCACCTAGATCAATACTAATTGTCCTATTGCTGTCATGGGATGAAGTTCAAATGGGAAATTGGTCAAAGTACTATGGGAACAGAACCAATGGGGCACTGCCATAGTTCAGGTTTTCAAGTAACTGTGGGCTATACCCATCTCCAGCCTGTTGACTAAGGACTATGTATTTAGCTGACTTGGCCAGCTCTGAGGAATACCTTACCTGCAACTTCAGTCCTTCTGTTTTTCCTAAAGGACAAGGAAACACACTGGCCATGAGCCTGGTGTAGCAGCCAGTGCCCTTAGGATACTTGCTAAATAAATTCTTGTATAAGGTTTTGGGGAGGTATTGGTAGGGAATTAGTCAGAACTTAGTACTTAAGAAAAAAGAGTTTAAAAAGTCTTTAGGTGGGCCGGGTACTGGTGGCTCATGCCTATAATCCTAGTTCTCAGGAGGCTGAGATTTGAGGATCACAGTTCAAAGCCAGCCTGGGCAGGAAACTTTGTGAGACTCTATCTGCCAGAAACTACCAAAAAAAAAAAAAAGAAAGAAAAAGAAAAGAAAAAAAGCTGGAAATGGAGCTGTGGCTCAAGTGGTTGAGCATTAGCCTTGAGCAAAAGAAGCTTGGGGACAGTGCTTAGTCCCTTAGTTCAAACCTCAAGATCAGCACACACAGAGAAAATATTTATGTGATTCTCAAGATTTATGTGATTCTCAATCATTATTTCGTTTTTGGGTTTTTGTTTTGTTTTTTGTTTTGGTCGGTTGTGGGGCTCCAACTCTGGACCTGGTTGCTGTCCCTTAGCTCTTCAGCTCAAGGCTTATGCTCTACCACTTGAGCCACAACACCATTTCTGGTTTTCTGGTAGTTTATTGAGTTTATAAGAGTCTCACAGACTTTCCTGCCCAGGCTGGCTTTGAACCCTGATCCTCTGATCTCAGCCTCCTTAGTAGCTAGGATTATAGGCATGAGCCACTAGTGCCCGGCCATTATTTTGCTTTCTAATGCCACTACTGCTGCCATTCAGGGCTGTGTGTGCATGTATGAGAGAGAAAGCATGTTTGTAGGAGCCAATAAAGCCATCTAACATAGCCATATTCTAATTTATTCATTAGTCATCATGACTTAATTTTCTTCTAACTTTTTTTTGGTACATTAATCCATTCATTCATTAACCCAACTTCTCTTTTCATTTTCAGTTTGGGCTTCCTGTAGAAGCGCCCTATCCTGCACAACAGAGCTGGGCCTCCCTTTTCTCTAACTCCTCCTCTAATATGTCAGACAACCCATGGCTTCCCTTCTCTTCCTGCAAAAGTTTATAGATTCCCTGAGAGTCAGAGGATGGTGCCTGCCCTCTGATCAAGAAGTTAACAGACTTTGTAGCTGCATCCTGCATCCCAGTCCCCCACCCCTACCCCACTCCTCCAGCTGTCCACACACTCCCTTACTCTTCCCCCCACATCCTTATCCTTGCATCCTTGCCAGACTGTAACACATTCAGGAGGCCCATCTGCTACTTCTTAACCACCAGCCTCCCCATTCCAACTCTCATCGCTGCTGTCTCCCTGATGTATTTCTATCTACCGTGAGTGGGTAGATACCAGGCAGCTTCCACATGTTCCAGCTGTCCCCCTTAGTTTCCTTGTGACCCAGTTAGGGTCTTCCCTGTCCCCTCCCCCTGTCTTCAGAAATCACTGTCCTTTCTCAGGATCCAAATGGAGATTCTGGAATGCCTTTTCCTCTGGCCTCCTAGCCCAGCCCTTTTCTGTTCTCAGTCATTCACAGTAACTGCACTGAAGCCACATTGAAAGTCCACCACAAGTTTATTTACAGTGACCAAGCCCTTTTCCATAAAAACACAATTGCTTGAGCAAATAGCATAAATCTCCTCCCACCCCACTCTCTGGCTACCCCACAGATGCAGAAGGGAATAAACTTGAATGTTATTACCAGCCTAGAGTCTTGAGTTGACAGATTTACAGAATTCTGAGAGCCTTCAGCATCTTCTTGGTCATTTCCCAGGGGGCTTTTTGCCATCCCAATAAAATGTGATCAATAGCAGAAATCATAGTTCCAGCATCATATAAAAATGGCGAGCTGACTGGGAAAAGAATGAAGTGCTTGAGGGTTTGCTTGGATGAATTTTCTGGTCTTATTTGGGGAATGGGATGATAATTTTAAAATGCGTTTTGCACGTGTTACCTGTAAAAGAGACAAAATTATCCACCCAGAATAATAGAGGTATTGTGTTGGGAAGATCCTTAACTTTGTGTTTTGATGTTTTCAAACTATTCCAGCCCTAATTTTGACCATGAATACCACTTGATAGTGACTGTGGGAACCCCTTTGAAGTAGTAAGGTCTCCATTCTTAGGGCCATGAGAAGTACAGGCCTTTGCTATTTGGCCAGTGAGAGAATGAAAGAGCTGGAGGCCAGCTACCAATGCTGTGGCTAATATGCCGTCTTTCTGCCCTTCCTTTGCAGTAACCTATGGCTGTGTACTGAATAGTATGCCCCGCTACAGCTGGACTGGACTCCACTTAGCCTTTTAAATGAAGGTTCTTATTTTAACTGACAGCTTTCCTTTGGGGTGCCAGACAGCTGAGCCCCCCATTCCCTCCCCTAATCCCTGCTGTATACTTCAAGCCCCACTGCTTCTTTTTGAGTTCTACAACTCGCTCCTTCTGTCTTCCAATCCCACTGGCACCATGACCACCTTCTTTTCTTTTCTTTTTCTTTTTTCCTTTTTTTTGTGATCACTTCCTTTAAAAAAAAAAATCACAGTGGTACCAAGTTTCTAGACCTTGTTGAAGTATTGCAAGACAATACTAAGAAGCAACACACGCACACATTTCTCTTGTTGGCAAACAAGCAAGCCAGTTTTGGCCAGGTGCTGGTGGCTCACGCCTGTAATCCTAGCTACTCAGGAGACTGAGATCTGAAGATTGCAGTTTGAAGCCAGCCCAGACAGTAAACCTATGAGACTCTTAACCTCCAAGTAACCACAAAATGCCAGAAGTAGAGTTGTGGCTCAAGTGATAGAGCACTGGCCTTGAGCAAAAGAAGTTCAGAGACAACACCCAAGCCCTGAGTTTCAAGCCCCATGACAGGCACAAAAAATACCTTTAAATTCCATGTCTTGAGATTCCCAGTCCATTCCACCAAAGATAAGCTTGTTTGTTTTTGATGTGATGGTGATGGAACCCTGGGCCTTTTACCCATGCCAAGCAGGCACTCTACCAATGAGCTCTAACCTCAACCCTCAGTGTTTTGAGACCATGTCTCTCTGTGTAGCCAGGCACAGCCACCCCAGTGCTGAGATTATGGGTATAGAGCCACCTCACCTGGCCAGAAACAAGGTCTTTTAACACAGTCAGGGTTAGAGGTCTCTTGAAAGGTCTCATCCTATATAAAACACCCAGAGATGGGGCAGGTGGGGATGGGCAAAGGAAAGTCTCCAGGGCAGCTTCTTAAGTAAGTTGCTGCCACCCACCCTTCTGTCTTTGGGACAAGACATCTGTTATTCTGGGGTCAGCCTTCCTGCATATCTAGAAATATTGAATATAGGGTTAACAGGTGCTCAGGATGATCTTGAATTCGGAAGTTTGGTAAAGAAAAATCTAACCTGTGAGTGTATATGAGGCCATTACAGCACTGGTGGCTCATGCCTGTAATACTAGTTAGGAGGCCGAGATCTGAGGATCACAGTTCAAAGCCAACCTGGACAACAAAGACCCTGAGACTCTAATCTTCAATTATCCACCAAAAATTAAAAAAGCTGGAAGTAGTGTTGTGACTCAAGTGGTAGAGTATTCTCCTTGAGCAAAAAATAGCTCAAGGACAGTGCTCAGGCCCAGAATTCAAGCCCCAGGACCAGGGGTGTGGGGGGGTGCTTATATCACTGGGTAGCTTTTCCTCACTGTAGACAGAAAAGGCTTTTTTAATTAATACAATTGTTACTATTTTTATTCTGTTTACTTGTGATGAAATGAAACCAGTCATTAGAAATGACGTGTGCTATTATCTTCCAAGACTAGGATGAAATGGATACACGCACGTGCACACACACACACTCACACACACATGCACACACTTCATTTCCCTTAAGCCAAAAAAAAAAAAGTCTGCTTTCCCCAGCTGCATTTCAGATCAGTTTTTTTTTTTTGTTTTGTTTTGTTTTAATCATTTGGCATTCAAATGTGGCTATAATATGTGCTTATTTTTAATTAAACCAAGAAGCTTTAAACCAATGTGTAGTGTTCTGGAAACCTCTGTAGATTTTCCCTATGGTGCCAGCCCACGGACTCTGTTCCTAACCTGTCTTCTCAGAGTAGACTCTGTGCTACCTCATGCTGCAAGTTGCCTTTCCCTTGTCTCACTTTGGATGTCCTTTTTTCTGTGGCTAATTTCCTGTTTTCTTTCTCTTTCTTTCTCCCTCTCCAGCTTTTTTTAATCTTGTCTTCAGCAGCTGCACTAAATCTAAAGGAGAAGACTGCCATGATAGAAGAGTTAGGGTTCCATATGGTCTCAAACCAGAAATCAACCAGTTATCTCTCCTCCCCCAACTGCACACGTATACACTCACACCACATGCAACAAGGGTTCTTGTATCCCCGTGTCCTGGCAAGAAGCTCTCTTCTGATTTACATGGTATTTTCAGTGGAAGTGTCTTGTTCTAAACTAACAAGGCAGGAAAAGAATCACCAGAGCTGGAAAATGGATCAGATGGTAACCTCAGAGAGAAAACTGCAATACCACTCACTCGAGTGTAAGTGATTGGGACAGGAGACCTCCGCTGTGGGAGTGGATGTGCTCCTTGTAAGGTTTTGAGTGTGAAGTTTTTCTTTTGAAACAATTCTTTAGTTCAGAGGGCTGACTGTTGCCAGCCACTATTAAACACTTCTGAAATAGGCAACAGAAAAATTGCATCTTCAACATTCATAAACCTCCTTCAGACCCTAGCAAGGGAGAAAATAATGGGGTCTACTCTCTTAACCGTTCAGGTGGAAAGAGACATTGATAGAGACACTGGGATTGAGGTTAGTTAAGAACAAAATGACTCCATTCGAATTTCCAAGGCCATGTGGAATTTTGGGGCGAAGTTTCTGGTTCAGCTTTGGGATCTGGAGAGAGAGCTTTCATATTGATCAATCTACCTTGAATTCATTGGCTAAACTTGCATCAAAATACCATGTGAGTGTGTTCATTCCAGTATGTCCCGACCAACATCAATACCATTCTGCTGTTCAGTGTCTCTTGAGAGAGCCTCTTTGCATGTTTTCCAGAACCTGTGTTTGTTTTTCCTGTCTTCTCTGTTCTTTTTGCTCAAAGGTGTGACCAGTCATTGGCCCTTTGAAGCTTTGATTTTTCCAAGAAAAACATCCCAGAACCAGCACTGTTTAGCTTAATACCTTTCTAATGTCCATGTTAATTTTCAATAAAATTCAAAGAAATGCTAATGGCTCTGTGATCTGATTTTGAATCAATAGATAATGCGCCTCACAACATTTCCTCTGCAGTAGGAATGGGTGGGTGCCTCCCAAATGGGTGGATTTTAGGGGCTCAGGGAAGCACCAGAGGCCACAAAATCTTCAGTGACTCCCATGCCCTCTCCTTTCTTCCATTTGGCCCTGAAATCTCACTGGAGCAGAGTGAGTGTGAGCAGGAAGTCTTCTGCTTGCTTTATTAGCATGCATTAAATTAATCTGTTGGGCTAATTAACTTGTGGAATAATGGGTGAAGGAAGTGGTGAATAAGATTCCACAGGACAAGATTCGGGTTCATCTAATTCTAGAAGGAAAAGAATTCTTGTGTCGCTTCTGTCATTGAATCCTGCCATGTGACCATCACCCAGATTATCTTTATGTCTGGAAAAGCATTACGTATATATCCAGTCATACTTCTGTATCCTGGGTATGCCAGCAGAGGAAGCCTACTTGTAGGTGTTAAAGTGGACAATAAGGAGAGATCAGTTTCTAGAATTGTGGTTGAGAGTAGGTAGGATTTCCTTTCCTCTGGTTTATTTATTTAATGTGCAGATGCTGAAGATTGGATGAATGTGCTGTTCACATTTTCAGAAGCCTGGTGGCCTCTGCAGGATACCGGAGGAAATGCTAGTAGCCTGCTTTTATGCAGTTTTTCCGCTAGAGGGCAGCTGAGCAAAACCATAATCTCTGAGCAGAAGCAGACCCTGAGGTATGGAAAAATACAGACTCCAGCCAGGCAGGTTTGCTTGCTGTGTGCACAGAGGTAAGTTGTATTATGAATGTTAGAGAAGGAGAATACCAGTGATTTCCTTGCAGAGTCATTGTGATGGCTTTCTGAGCTAATTAAAACAATAAATAAAAGAACCAAGCCTTATTTAAGATGAATTTTCTCTGTACCAGAACATACTCATTTTAAGGTCCTTTCTGGGTTGTTTTTTGTTTGTTTCTTGTTTTTGCCAGACCCGGGGCTTGAACTCAGAATCTGGGCACTGTCCCTGAGCCTCTCTGTGCTCAAGGCTAGTGTTCTACTACAGCGCCACTTCCGGCCTTTTCTTTGTATGTTGTACTCAAGAATTGAACCCAAGGCTTTATGCATGCTAGGCAAGCACTCTACCTCTAAGCCTCATTTCCAGCCCACCTCTCAGATTTTTTTAGTCTAAGCACTAAGAACATTTGGAACCAAATAGTTGTCCTGTGCATTATAGAATATTGAGTAGCATGCCTGGGCTCTACCCAGACCTCAGTAGCGCACCCCCTAGCCCTCACAATATGGCAGCAATGTTTCCAAAATATCCAGTTGTCCCCTGGAGCCTCAGTAAACGTTTTTCTGTGAAGGACTAATGGTAGTTAAGGCTTTGTAGGCCATATTCAACTGCAGCATGAAAACAGCCATACATAAAAGAATGGGTATGGCTGTGCTCCAATAAAAAATAAATTGGAATTTCACTTTTTTTTTGGTCAGTTATGGGGATTGAACTCATGTACTAGGTGCTGTTCCTGAACTCTTATACACCAGGCTAGTAGTATACCACTTGGAGCCACAGAACCACTTCAGGTTTTTCTGGTGGTAAATTGGAGATAAGAGTCTCACAGTCTTACCTACCTGGGCTGGCTTCGAACCATGATCTTCAGATCTCAGCCTCTTGAGTAGCTAGGATTTCATGTGAGGCACCAGCACCTGGCTTGGAATTGCACATTTTTTAACATTCTCAGCTGTACTTTTGATTATACTTATGTTTTTTTTAAACCATTAAAAATGCAAAAATAGCTGGGCACCAGTGCCTCACGCCTGTAATCCTAGCTACTCAGGAGGCTGAGATCTGAGGATCACAGTTCAAAGCCAGCCTGGGCAGGAAAGTCCGTGAGACTTTTATCTCCAATAAACCACTAGAAAACGAAGTGGTGCTGTGGCTCAAGCAGTAGAGCGCTCGCCTTGAGCTGAAGAGTTCAGGGACAGTGCCCAAGCTCAGAGTCCAAGTCCCATGACCGGCAAAAAATAATTCAAAAATAGGCTGGGTACCTGTGGCTCACGCCTGTAATCCTAGCTACTCAGGAGGCTGAGATCTGAGGATCTCAGTTCAAAGCCAGCCTGAGCAGGAAAGTCCATGAGACTTATCTCCAGTTAATCACAAGAAAACTGAAAGTGGTGCTGTGGCTCAAGTGGTAGAGTGTTTGCCTTGAGCTGAAGAGCTTAGGGTCAGTGCCCAAGCCCAGAGTGCAAGCCCCTGGACCAACAACAACAACAAAAAAGCAAAAATAGGCTAATGCTAGTGCCTCAAGCCTGTAATCCTAGCTACTCAGGAAGCTGAGATCTGAGGGTCACAGTTCAAAGCCAGCCTGTGCAAGAAAGTCTCCGAGACTCTTATCTCCAATTAACTGAGTTGTGGCTCAAGTGAACAGAGCCCAGGTCCTGAGTTTAAAAAAAAAACAAACAACAACCCAGAACTCTAGCCCATGTGCACACACACACACAAATGCAAAAATACTCATCATAGAATATATATCAAAATGAAAATAATTGTAAAATAGTCTGGGACTGGTGGCTCACATGGTAATCCTAGTTACTCGAGAGGCTGAGATTTGAGGTTTACAGTTTGAAGCCAGCCTGTGCAGGAAAGTCCATAAGACTCTTCATTAAAACACCACAAAAAAAGCTGGAAGTGGAGTAGTGGGTGGCTCAAGTGGTAGAGTACTAGCCTTGAGGACAAAAGCTCTGGCCCTGAGTTCAAGCCCCAGGACCAGGACAAAAAATGTAAAAATATTCCTAAAGTAAAGGTCAATAAAAATTCTGGGCAGGAGGCCACAGGGTTTCACACTATGTTAGACAATCGCTCTACTACTGAGCTACAAGCTGGCTAGCACATAGCCTCTCAAATCAGTTCCAGTGTCTTTCACATTCTGATTTGAGAGCCTGGTTGCAATTGTTTTCAGTGCAGCTAAGAGGAAGAAATTCCTTTTTTCCCCAGATTGTTTTCTAGGGAACATAAGTTTGGTTTGGTTTTTTTTTTTTTGGGTCCGGTCGTAGGGCTTGAACTCTGGGCCTGGGCGCTGTCCCTCAGCTCTTCAGCTCAAGGCTAGCACTCTACCACTTGAGCCACAGCGCCACTTCCGGCTTTTTTCTTTTTGCTTATGTGGTGCTGAGGAATCGAACCCAGGGCCTTAGGCATGCAAGGCAAGCACTCTACCACTGAGCCATCTTCCCAGCCCAAGTTTTTTTTTGTTTTTGTTTTTGTTTTGTTTTTTTATTTTTTTGGGGGTCCAGTTGTGGGGCCTGAGCTCTGGGCCTAGGCGCTGTCCCTCAGCTCTTCAGCTCAAGGCTAGCACTCTACCACTTGAGCCACAGTGCCACTTCTGGCTTTTTTCATTTTGCTTATGTGGTGCTGAGGAATTGAACCCAAGGCCTCAGGCATGCAAGGCAAGCGCTCTACCACTGAGCCATCTTCCTAGCCCTGGAACATAAGTTTTCATTACAGTCTTGTTTTGCTGAAGATCAGCAGCTTGAGCAAGGTCTTAGTCAATGTGTGCTACTATAACAAAATACCTGTAAATAACAGGTATTTATTTCTCAAGAATTCTGGAAGCTGGAAAGTTTGAAGTTAAGACACCAGCAGATTTGGTTATCTGGTAAAGGATATTCTGTGCTTCCAAGATGGTTTCTTTTGCTGCAGTCTTTGGGAGAGTAGGAACACTGTTCTCACATGGTTGGTGGAGAGTGGAAGGGCAAACAACAAAACACTGCATAAAACTTGAGGGCATTAATCCCATTCAGAAGAGAGTAGACTACTGTTAGTATAGTTTTGTTTTTTTTTGGGGGGGGGGTGTCAGTCATAGGGCCTGAACTCTGGGCCTGGGCACTGTCCCACAGCTCTTCAGCTCAAGGCTAGCACTCTACCACTTGAGCCACAGCGCCACTTCCAGCTTTTTCTGCTTATGTGGTGCTGAGGAATCGAACCCAGGGTGTTAGTATATTTCTAGAGGCAGCAAAGAGGCTCAGAGAAAGCCTCCTGACTCCAAAAACAAAAAGCAATTCCTGGGGCTGCTGGCCTCTCCTTACACTACTAATAATGATGTGTGGCCCACACAATATTTTTTTAAATTTTTATTGTTATTACGAAGGTGACATCCAGAGGGGTTACAGTTACATAGGTCAGGTAATGACTACATACTTTTAAAATTGTTCATATAAAGGTGATGTACAAAGGAATTAGTTACATAAGTCAGAGAAAGTATATTTCTTTTTTTGACAAATTTTTTATGATTATCTTTAAGTAGTTGTACAAAGAAGTTCCCATTCTATAAAACAGTATATGAATACAACAATGCCACCCTTCCCTTGCTCTCCCAGTTTTTCCCTCCTATCCCCACTCACAGTCGTATAGTTCATTTTCAACAGTGTCTAGTACCATTGCTGCATTTGTTCACCCTTTGTCCCTCCATTTCTGTGCCCCTCTCCCCGCCCCTAGCCAGATAAAACAAAAAGGAAAGAAAACCAAAACAAAGACAAAACACTTGTTTGGCATATGCATTATTAATCTCATAATAAAATCCCCTCCCTTCCCCAATAGTTTGAATCCTTTTTATTTTACATATTTTAAAATATTTTTTACAGGCAGTTGCTCAAAAACATGTAGACAGTATTTTTCCTCAATCTTGCTTCAGTTCCAGCAGATTTCTCAGGTCCTACACAGGGACCTGAGGGATTTCCTCCTTTCATCTCAATACCTCACCGAAGAAGACACCTCTCTGCGGGAAACAGAAGAGCCTTTTCCACCCTAGTGTCTAACCTACTACTCTCAATAAATAATAATAATTTTAAAAAAACAAACAGGAAGAGGCAGGGATGTAGTTCAGTGGCAAAGTGCTTGCCTAGCAAGTGCAATGTCCTGGGTTCGATCCCCAGTACCAAAAAAGAAAAGAAAAAGGTTTTAAGAAAGGAAGAAATGTTACTTCTGAATAGTCAGGTGCTGGAT